TACACAGAGCCTGCTTTAAGTGGCTTCTTCAGTGTGTTAGGAAGCAGACCACTGCTACCATTTTTTTAAAAAACATTCTCCCTAGCAGTGATTTGGGCTCCTGTGTTGGCTGCAATGGGTTCCTGTTTTAAGGATGCAATTCACAGATATTTGGCTTTCTGCTCCAGGCTGCTCCCTCGTGATGGGATTTCTCTCTGCGGCTAGCGAGCCCAATCCAGCGGTGTTTGGCTCGCTGGGAGCTGGAGTATCCCCCTCTTGGCTGGATGTGTTGAGCTGCCATAGCAGCAGGGGGGAGACCAGTACAGTGCTGAGAGGCTGGGATAACATTGGAGCAAGGAAAAGGCAGTCCCAGTCATAAGGTGAATGGGAGATTCCCAACCCTTTGTTCCCCTTCTGTGGGCAGCTGAGAGGCCCGTTGGCAAGTATCTTCAAAGAACATGTTGTTATACGCCCATCCTTTTTGGCCTTTGCAACCCTGCTTTCTTCTCTTCCCTGGTAATCTCCAGGAGATGCATTGCACTGGGTTGTAGCATTACCACAGTGTGCTGTTTACCTTTGAGGTTTGTGCCACAAGGTCTGTCTCTGTCATGAGCATTAATGTTGAACCCGTACGAGGTTGGGCTGAATTACTTATGTGGCCCGTCTCTTTAGAGCATTCCAAACAGCCAGTTTTTTTAGACATGCGTATGACACATTTGATGCCAAGATATCGGCACTTGTGCAAAAGAACAGGCAGCTTCTCACAGCGACAAAGAACCAACAGTAGAAAAACTGGATGATCCGGTGACATCGCAATCACTGTGTGTAAGGCGTGCTGTTGTAAGCTCCACTGAACATCTCCTTATGTATTCTGTCATGGGAATTGGAGATGGAACAGACCGATTAAGTCACCCAGTCCAGGCCTCTGACAGCACAGGATTGCTCCCAGCAATATCTGCTGCATCAAAAGAGCACTAGGCCCTCGTTACTTGACTGACTCAAGCACAAGAGTATTTTAAATTCATAATCTGCGAACACTCATGCACGGCGCTCTTCACCCCGGGAGGCAATCAGACCTCCTTTCCCAGGAAGAGCGCTAATGGAGGAGGTTGGCGTACACGTCAGGGATTCAAGTGCCCACAGCTTGCTGTTACTTAACCTTCTTTGAAAGTCCAGCCTTTGCAAGTTGACTGTGGCAGGCAGCTGTGTCAGCGTCTTTTCATATGCACCTGGTTTTTGTGCTTAGGAATAAGGGCTTCTTTGTAAAAGCGAGAGTGCTGCTCCCCGAACCTCATTATCAGGTGCGAGTTTCCCAAGAGACTTCTGCATTCATTTCCTTTCTCCCGCATCCTTGTTGCCTGTCTCTCTCTGTCTATACACGTGTGTCTGTGAAAATGGCAATTATCCTTTTGAAAGAGCCTTTGAGCGCTGCTGACGTCGTGCGAGATGATGGTACTTTTATGTAAGGTAGCGTTCTGCCATTCTTTCTGCTCCACTATACCATCGCTTCTGTTTCAGAATCTGTAAGCTGGAAATGTGACCGGGCAGCAGAAACAGCATCTCCGAAGGTTTTACAAAAAGGGCTTTGATCTTTTAAAAGTTCCTTACGTTTCGTATATTGCCCAGTGCGGGCCAGTTTCACTGTTTTGTACAGTGAAGTACAGTTTCATTGTTTTGTACTTATAGTTAGATTCTCTCTCTCTCGATCTCTGAAATTGGGGACTGAAATGACTTCTGCTGATTTGCTCACCCACACACCATCAGCACACAATTTTCTTCCCACTCCTGCTGTCCCATAGGCTTGAGCAAACCACGTATCGCATGCCTAAAAATCTATCTTCTGCTTCCTCTGGCTTTGAAAATTGACAGCATGGGAAAGGTTTAGCAGTTGCCCATGAGGAAGGCCAGGCCTCAGCTCTCCGGTTGTGGTTGGCAGGTAATTGAGCACTTTCACCATCTTATCCCAGTGTAAGTCGAGCGAGACAGAAATCCACTGTTTTGCCTTCTCAGTTTGTGTTTAATGCTCTTGTAGCTTGGTTTTTAGAGGGACGTTTGGAGTCAACTTCTTCAGGTGCCTTTGTGGTATCTCCTCATGCTAAGAAATGGAAAAAAAGCCATCCTGTGATAGTAAGGAATGTGGTGGGGAAAGGATATTAATATTCAGATTGCTATTATGCTTTATCTTCACGATGGCAGAAGCAGGAGCAGCATCGACAACCCAACGTGCCTTTAAATCTACCAGTCTTACTGGAATAAAGCCATTTGGAGAGAGATCCTCCTGGGTGTTGGGCTTCTGTGAGTCCAGTCTTGGAATTGTATCTCTCTTTTGATCCACAAACTACTTGTCTCTTAGCAGAGTTTTATAACGGCGGGAGGGGGAGGAGGGCGAAGAAAAGAACATTATTCAGTAGCCCTTGTGGCCCTGGGGTCAGAAGCTCTGGGACAGCCACTGGCAGGCAAGAATGCCAGGAGAAGAAGGCACTCATGAAGAGCGTTGATTGTCCTTTCTCAGTTCTTTCCAGTGGCTGGAATGGGGCCTGGGCAGAAATCTCCTCCCCATCCTTTGCTGCAACTTCTTCCCCTTTCAGTCCTCTGCTCTGGCTGAGCAAAAGAAGATGACGGTTCCTTTTTGACTGCGGCACTGAATACCCATTGAGGAGTCAACAAACGTTGCTTTCTGGGAGGCTAGCACAGTGAAACCTGCTTATAATTGAGTGAAACTTGACTGGAAGCAGCATGAAGCTTCATTTGCAGAGTGGTGAAAATCCCTTGAATTGTATCAAAGCTGTCCATGGACGGCTTGAGTGGGGAGCAAGGCAAGGGTTAAGCTGTGGTATTGTGATGCACGCTCCATTTCTAAGGCTGCCTTAGGAGTTCAAAAAGCAGGGGTGGAGGTTACATGCTGCAGCTGCACTTCCCAGTAAGCAGTTATTAATTCAGTGATGAGCTAGAGTGTCATTAAGGTGGTATCTTTTATTACGCCCACATCAATCCCAGAAGGTTTCATCATGGGTAATGATGTCAGGGCCAGAACAATTCATAGCGCTTAACTGTGCGGACGCCTGCCTCTTTAACCAAGGCAGCAGAACATTCTTGTGTTGTATTGTTGGCCCCAGATAGCTGTGGTCTGATTTCACGTGGCCCCGGGCCTCCCAAAGGAGGAAACAACCCCCAAGTACAAGTGGTAAGTTAATGAATAGCCCACCTGTCGCTGGTCCAGGCGGGAAGTTAGCCTGGCAGTCATCCACAGCCCGTGAGTCAGAGAGAAAGGGAGCCCTTCTGGAAGGAATGAAAAGCACCAGTTGGTGCTGGAGAACAATAGCAGCCTTGTCTCCAGTTGTGAGGCTGCTGTAATAAAGGTGCAAAGTTGGGTGAACTTTGTTGCTTGTTTGCTTCCCCCCCATCCCCCTCAGAGCAGTTGCGGGATGATTATTGAGTCTGTGGTTTAAGGTTACAAACTAAACCATCATTTTTACCTCCCCTGTTTCCATCCTGGGAGGGGGAACCCGTCCCATCCCACCGCAGAATAACGGAACAGATAAATTAAATTACAGTGTCCTGTAGCTGCCGAATGTGAGTGGAATGCATTAGGTCAGAATAGGCTGTCGTACTGGGACCCTGTCGGATCTCGCAGCAAAACAGGGTCAGGGCTGGGTCAGCACTTGGGCAGGAGACCGTAAGGAACTATGGGGATGTGCTGAGCCCCATAAAATTGAGAGCCTGCTGGGTCCTTACAGATCCTATTGATGCTCTTTATAAAGGCATGAGCATTCACTTCAGTGTCCTGCCAGTTTGGATGAAGCTGTCTCTTGCCCGTTGAAATTCCCCTGGCTCTTTCAGGCCTTGATATTCAAGTCCTTGCTAGAGGTGCAAGGCCCTCAAGGTTTCTGGGCTCCAATGCATGTGAAAGAGGAGGTTGTGTGCAAGCAGATGTTACAGTTAAGAGCTAGGCAGAATCCTCTTTGCCAAGCTCTACTGGGGTTGGGATGAGCTGGTGCTCACGTCCAGTCCTAAACTACTTCTCACATTGCCATGCGATGTTAATCGGCTGCGGGGCTTCAGCCCAGAGGTTGCTTCATTTCAGTGGTGGGTGAACAGAGCTCTTTGCCAAGTTTGTATATCAGTAGTTACACTTTGCAGTGAAAGGCATTGTACAAAAGCAGGATTATTGTTCTAAGACGGTCTAGAGATATTGGCTAATTAGTAGTAGCTAAACCATTGCTTTGCGTGGGAGAAATCAAAAGTGCTGAACATTTTGATCTTTTCCCCAGAGTGGTTCCCCCTCCCGCTCCAGCAAATGCCATCCTAATGAGAGCTATTCTTTGAAACTGTTAGGTTGCATTGTTCCATGAAGTTTCTTTTTTGAAGAGCACTTCCCCCAATACTGTTTGCTTTAGAGCCTGTAGACAGACATTGGTCATTAGTTCTGCCTATTTTATCTAACCTAGTCTCATATACAGCGTCTCTTTTTTTCTTATTTATCTGGCACCCACCACCCTCGTATCTGAGCTCCTCCCCAAATTAACAAGAGCATGAAAGCCCCCACCCTCCAGGTGGACTAGATTTCTCTCTCTCTTCCGGAGGCTTCTGGAATTCTTTTAGAACAAAGTGCGTGCATGTGACACTCTCTCTTCCTCAATTTAGCTGTTGGGGCTATTGTTGTGTTAAGTTTTGTGGCAGTCTGGAACCAGTTGTCATCGGTCTCCTGCCATCAGGAGTTTAATTCGTGAAGTTGATGGTTTTATGGTTTCTGTGGGGAGTGACTGCTGTAGGAGCGTATGGTCCCAAAGTGAATGGTCTTGCTTGGACCAGTAGCATGGGTGACCATAAAGATGAGGGGGAGCCAGGGAGTTTGTCGAGTGTCCGGGTGATGCGGCCAGCGTTCTTCGAAGTGTCCATGTTAAAGGGCTGGAAGGCGACCAGGGAAGTGCGCATCTGCAGCGTGTGATGAGAGCGTGAGAGGGGAAAGGTGCTGAATTCTCCAGAGAAATGGCTGATTGGATTGTTCTTACTCTCCACAGGAGCGAAGTCTGACAGGCAAGCTGGGACCCGTGTCTCCGGTCAGCCCCGCCCACCCTGACTCGGAGCTGGATCTGTTACCCTCCAGGCTCTCGAAGGAGGAGCTGATCCAGAACATGGACCGAGTGGATCGGGAGATCACCATGGTGGAACAGCAGATCTCCAAGCTGAAAAAGAAACAGGTAAGGTGGCCCGGCGCTGGTGGAGCTGTATGTCTGTCAGAGCACTCGCACTTCCCTGTAATGGCGGATCCAGGCGTCCACGGACGTCCACTGAGGGCAGCAATTGCAGCAGCTACTATACATAAGGCACAGGCAACTGCTAGCGCTTTAACCAGCGTGTCGCCTAGACTTCCCCCAGACAGCTTGCTGGCCCCTCTGCGCTGTTCTTATTTATACTGCATTAGCACCAAGAGGCCCAAACCAAGACCAGGGATCCATTGTGCTCTGCTGTGCACACACCTGGTAAGAGCCGCTCCCTACCCACCCGGTGCTTACAATCTAAATAGAGAAGACAGACAAGGGGTAAGGTAAAAGGAAGTATTTTTATCCCCGTTATATAGATGGGGAAATGAGGCACAGAGAAATTAAGTGACTTGCCCATGGTCACGCAAGAAGTGGGTGGCAGAGCTGGCAATTGATCCCAGGTCCTCAATCTTGTGCATTGTAATCACAAGGCTCTCTTTCCTCCCAGCGAGAGTCCCCCTGTGGTAATGCTGCTGGAGCACCGTTGCGGGTAGTGCAATGGTGGGAAATGTTAAATGCTATTGTGCTCTGGTTCTAAATCTGCGAAGGCCGAATTCAGCGCTTGGATATTTCCACCCTGAGTCTCAGGAAGGGATTTGCTTCTCTGCAGCGCGCGTGTCCCAAAATAAAGCTGCAGTACCGAGATTTCTTCTTGTAGCTTGAAAACCAACCCGAAGCTTTGTGTGTTGATGCGATAGGGCAGCTCTGCGCCAGTGGCAGACTTGGGAACGCTGCTCCCTGCTGTTTGGTGACCTAACCTGCTGCATTGCACTGAGTGTTCCTCTGCTCCTTGTGCCTGGGCTCAGGCAGACGTAAGAGAGGGCTCTGGGCGGCTCGCTTCCCGCAGTTGATTGAGGGGAAGAGACCCATATTTGGTTGCCGCTGTGTCCACTACTATTCTAGGGAAGTCCTAGCTTCCACAGTAAGGATCTGGCCCTTGTTACTGTAGTATCAGGACACATGGCAGTTTTTAATGTACATAGCCTCCCTGCAGAGATGGCTATTATTCATGTTACAGATGAGCACCGGGAGGCTAAGTGAGGTGCCCAAGGTCACACAGGATGTCTGTGGCAGAGCAGGGAATTGAACCAAGGTCTCCTAAATCTTAGGCTAGTGCTCTAGCCACTGGACCATCCGTCCTTGTCTATGTAGCAGAGTAGAAGACCGACCAGTAGAAGACTCCACCAGCACGTCCCAGGCTTATTGTTGCCACGCAGATTACCATAACCCCATTAACATGATTAACATGACAAAAGCACAGTGGTGGCCTGTGTTTTTTATAAAGGTTTTTCAATGCCTAAAGCAAAGCAGTTCTCTTTGTGTCTCCCTGTTACGGGTTGTTACTTCCCCTGCGTCAGGAAGCTCTGTAATGCTTGCTGATGACTGCTAATCCCCACCCGCCCGAGAGATGAGCCAGCTCTCCTGATGTGCGTGTGCCCTGGAATTTATGAATTAAGGAGGCGGTATAATTGGGCTGTCATTCTGAATGAAAAAGTGGGTCTATTTCCATGCTTGTAGTGGGAAAACAAGTTGCTGACGTTCCTCTCAAGTTCTGCAGAAACGGCACAGGAAGGGAATAATGAGTGCAATAAACCAACTGAAGAGACTCCTCTCATTTCACATGCACACACTCACGCACGCCCAGGAACACACTCGTGCTCACGGGCACTCTCCGCAGGCTGTGCTGTAGCTGGCACAGAACCAAGCTCTCACGTCTCTTTAATGCAAGGCCATCCCAAATGCCTCTTTTTGCTATGAATAGAGTTGAGTTTTTGATTAACAGATGCCTCCCCATCCCCCTCGTAAGTGGAATCAGGACAGTTTGGTTTTGTTTTTAAACAGTGTGGTGTAATTAGTCCGAAACACCTGTTTTCAGTTGATTTCCCTACAGAGGTAGCAAAGGGGCTGGAGAGGGGAAGGGAGCCGGGAGGGCTAAGAAGCAGCTGTGATGCCAGGTGAAATGAATGGCCCCAGAGCTGCCTTTTCATTGGTGCAGCTGGAACATCTGGAGTGATTAAAAGCACAGAGGATTCCCTTGTTTTATTTTGTGGGCATTGGGTGGAGTCTGGGCCGCCGTAAGGACGGAGAGCAATAAGATTCTGGCTCTTGCAGCTGGAAGGCTGGTTCCTTTAAAGACAGACCTGCCAGGACAATGGTGGCATCATGATAAAGTCAGAGTTCAAAAGACGCTGTCGGTTTTAAACTCCTGGGCCAGATCCCTTGGCCTCCCCAAGCTGCTTTGCAGAGGAGCAGATGGAGGGCTGGGGAGGAGGGCAGAATGGGTCAAAGGTAGCTTTAAGCCATCTTTGCAATCTCTGCTGATATGAGAGCAGGCTTCCTGTCCCTCTTCTGCCTGGCTCCCTATGCTCCAAGGGGCTGTCCTGGCAGCTGGGGAATCAGCCAGCTGCATCAGCTTTGCGGCCACGCCCCCTTCACTGAGGCCTGGGAGAGAAACTGGAATGGGAGCCATAAGATTTCCTTGCACACTGCCTGGTCTTGGTGGCCTTTCTGCCTGCTTCGCCTTGCAGTGTGACCCAAACTGGCTGCAGTGTGGCACTATGCACCAGGTGCCTCCCCCAGCTGCAGGGGTGGTGCCCCTTCTCTGGCTGGGCTGCCTCCACGCACCAGTCTCAGGAAAGAAGTTGGCACTTTGCACCAACCCTGTGTTCATTACCGTTCCGTTTAAAGAAACGCCCTTGCTCCAAAAAGCTCTCAAGGGACCTTTGGTCCAGCGACCTCAACACGGTAGCAGTGTCCATCCCCAGGTTAGTTTGCAGTGAAGGGGGATTTAGCCTATGGAGATCAACAGGCTCCGCTTAGTTAGAGCCTTAGTGCTCATTGAGCCCCCAGGCTTTACCAAGGGCACAGGGGTTCCAGGCCTGTGCAAGCCAGGTCACCAGTGAAGCACCGCTGGGGAGCTTGGCTCGTTTTCTAGTGGAAAGTTGGTCTGAAGTCAAAGTGACTCTGGGAAAGCAAAACGAGATTATCCTCTTCCCCTGGAGGAGTTGGAGGACTAATGCACAGTAGCTGTGGGGACCAGTGTCTCGTAACAGGCAGCTCTGCAACCTGGCTTTTCCAGAGCTGCTGGGTACCCACAGATTGAAGTTAAGGGAGCTGCAGGTACTTAGCACCTTTCAAAACCAGGCCGTCGTCCTGGAAAGAAAAGGCTTTTCTTGTTTGTCTCGTTTTCTCCCCCGGACACTGATTTTATAAATCCTCTGCAAATGCTCAGATTAGTTATGAATGTGGCGAACGTATCTGCTGACAGATAAATCCCCTCCTCCCTTTTCTTTGCAGGTGGTTCTGTAGCTAGGTGTGCAATCAGTTACCAATACTGACCGTGGCCTTCCCTCTCCTTAAGAAAGTTCAGTACATCTGGCCTTTTAGGATTCAGTGCAAGAGAAAATATTTGAGAGGTGCGGGGGAAAAGAGAGAGAGCAGAAAAGTTCCTATCTGTAATACTTTGAGAACATTTGGTCCATCTGAGCCATTGACTTTTAAAGAACACGAGAGAGAGAGAGAAAACAAAAGATATTAGCCAGATCTTCCTTGAGCAAACAGGAGAGCAGTTGTACGAAGCCCTAATGTCTCAATGCATTTTCCCTCCCTCCTTGGGAGGTCTTAGAGATAATTAAATACATTTGTACGCAAAACCTGTGCAGCAAAAAAAAAAAAAAAAAAAGGGACAGCAACAGTGTCTCCTTGGTAGTTCCAAAAATGGCAATGACGGCTCTCGCTGGGCTTGGCTGGCAGGAGGGGTTTTGATGAAGCAAAGTCTTTAGCAGCCCAGGAGCTTTTCTTTCCTGAAATCCAAAGCACCAGTGAGCTGCTTTGTCCATCTGCTCCTCCCCGGCTTAATTCATGTGCCACTTCTTTTTCATACGTGTTAAATCTCTTTCACTTCTCCCACTAGCCTTCCCTTTCACGCCAAGGAAGGATAATCTCCTTGCAGTTATTCCTGGCCATGGTACCACGGATCTTGACCTCTCTCCTCCCCCCCCCCACCCCCCCAAAAAATGGCTGGGATTTTCTTTCTTTGCAAATATTTTCTAAGCCGGCCCCAAAATGCTTATCGGAAGTGCAACGCTGACACCTGCTGGCAAAGGTGGAGCCGGTGGTGGCCTGTAGCTTTGCAGCACCATCGGGGAACCCAAGACTTGGCCTATTTGCCAAATCTGCCAGGTAGGTTTATCATGTTAAAGAACAATTCCCCCAACTGAATTTTATCTGCTGTATCTCAGCCTCTTTTTCTTAGAATAATTTTTAGAAATAGATTTCCTGAGTTGGAAACTCTGTTTCTTTCTGTTTAAGTTGCCATGTATGTAGACTAATCACTGGTGATTTCTGCCCAGGAACTAGCACGTGCCTGGATTAAACATGGACATTTAAATGATATCTACCTCTGAATAAGGGCAACCATGCCGAAGACTGGCCAGATTCACAGAAGACTGGAAAAGCCAGACACAGTCAAAGCTATTTCAGCTCACACCTCATGCAACTTGATCAAACAGGAGGGATCTATGCTTGCTGCCATATGTACTACAGATGAAGTATTGTTATTACCATACCATTGTCGTTGGGGAAGAGAAAGAGGTGCTGCCTTCATTTAGAAACTGATTGGCCTTAGGAGGAGAGGGAAGCTTACGCTGTCTCTAATGACAGGGCTTTGCGTTGCCTTGAAGTCACTGCAATGGGATTTTCATTTTAGAAGAAGAGGGAAGTTGCAGGCTAGCAGAGGGTTGGCGTGTCACCGTCAAGACTCATCCTGATTTTCTGATTGTAAAGGTCACAGTCCCTGCCTGTTTTTTTGTGGCAGACCTTTAAGATCCGTCTTTGTTCATGTCTGAGTACCTTGACCTATTTTGCTTTGCCATTTCCCACAAATTCCAAGGGAAGCGGTTGCTGGCTAAACCTACTGAGGTCATCTTTGTAATCTCAGCGAGCACAGTGGGGAAGTAACCCCTAGTCCGTATGCTGTAATTGGTGGGCCTGCACCTTTGATAATTGTACAATATTACACCCATGGAGAGTAGAGAGACTGTAATTCTTCACTGTATTTCAGCTATAATTAGATTTGCAGGCGTGGTGGTTTTGCTTTTAAGGAGCTACTTTTAATGAGCCTCCACTTACTGGAAACGTTCATTTCTTGATTTGCCATCAAATCTTCTGTCTTAAACCAACTGGAACAGATTTGACCACTTGGGAAACTTTTTTGTGGGCTGCCAGAATACCTATCAAAGTTTCTAGAGATTTTACCCAAATCCTTTCCCTGATAGAAATTGGGGTTTTGTTTTGTTGTTGATAATCTGGGGCTCTTGTTTCGAATTCCTGGAGTTTGTAGTTTGGGGGCCTGTAAAGGGCATCTTTTCTATTATGAGAATAATGCATGCATTTCGTTCCTCGAACCAAACCCTGGAGCTAACACTTGTAGACACTGGGAAAGTTCTGATCTGGATTGGACCTTTGCTGCTTGGACCCAGCTCTGTTTGGAAGCAGTTCTAGTTGAACAAAGAACTAGGAGTGTACTGTAAACCCAGGGGAAAGGAGTTCATCAAGACACAGGTTGCTGATTAGCTCCCAGGTGGAGTTGAACACGTTGGTCCTAACCTGTTAAGCTCTAAGCGCCTTACCTCGTTGTGTTGGGGAATCGCTTCTCTCTCCATGAATGTTGCCAGAGTTGGGATCAGTGGAGACACTTGAGCCAGTGGTCCCCTGGTTTAAAAAGGAGGGGACCGACAGTGGGGCATATTCCCAAAAGGGAATATTGAACCCACACTTTGTCCTTCAGATGCCTTGGTTATTGGGTCTTGAGATCAAACTGCAAGGCATAATATATCTTTCCTCTGGCTTTGGGGCAGCGGAGTGGGTCAGAGGATAGGGATAGTTGGGGGTTGCTGTTTTTATTGTATTGATGGTGCTTTATATTTGGTCAGGATTGAAAGATCAGGTGTGAAATTAGGTGGATGGACAGGACACAATTAAGGGCGCTAGGGTTTGATGGCAAGCCCTTTGAAGTCGGTGGAGAAGCCCTTTCCTGCAGAGCTTCCCAGAAAATCACCATGCCTGATTCCTGATAGTTGCCCCTCGCGCTTCTGCATGACCCATATTGCTATTTCTTTTTAGCTAAATTAACATCCTCAAAGCCTCTTCCAGATTCACTTCTGAGTCTTTGCACAACGCACTCTTTTTTTAGGTTTCCAAGTATGAAAACCGTCCTGTTGGTTCAGGAGCAGCATTTCCAATGAGTCATTTGCAAATTAATCTAAATTGCACAAATTTTCACAATTTCACTCTCCCGTTTTGCCGCACCCTGCACATAACATGAGTAACAAGTTCTCCTTCAGGGTCTCCTGGTCATTCCTTCTCTCATCTGTGCGCTTCCTCCAGCCGGTTGAAAAGATTTTGGGATTTCTCTTAACTTCGTACTGGTTACGAGGACAATAATGACGCAGGATGAGATTGTACATACAGTATGTTGTCTGGCAGGCTGCAGTTCCTTGGGATGTTGGGAATATTTTAAAGTTTGCTTTTAAAAGTTAAACAGTTACAATCACGAATGCTTCTCAGGCCATGGCGGATGTACTGTACAGCATCATGCACTGACTAACGTTCGTGAAACACACTTGAGCGTGCACATCTGTTACTATGGGGAGACAGAGGCTTTGCCTATGCTGAGACTTCAGAATTGCCCCAGTGTGAACCCATAGCATAGATACCATTTGCACCCAGACATGCAGACTGCATTGCACTGGTGTGAAGGGATTTGCATTGCTCCAGTAGCACCAGCGGCTGAAATGTCAGTCCAGAGAGGGCTGAAGTTGTATGTTTAGAAATCTGAGGCTCCTCTAGGATCAGTGTGATTCAGTGTCTCTGATGACAATAGATGAGACGCTATTGGAGCAGGAGGAAATCTCTTGCATTGTGTTGTGTAGCCTGCCTAGGTGCCTTCCTACCTCCCGTCTCTTCACGGTGCAGCATTTCAGCCCTCGTTTTGTATCCATTGGATTTTATGCTGTGCCAGAGTTAATTTTTCTCTAGCGCTCTCCGAGGTGCATCCGCTCCACAGCAGGGCTGCCCAAAGGCCAAGGAATCCTGGCCACTCTCTGTCTGTCTCTGCAGGACGTGATCAAGGGCAGGTTTTTACGCTGCTGAGCTCAAACAAGCAGCTGCTTCACTTCATCTTCATCACATCTAAGTGACTATCAGGGTTATCCTCATTTTGCTGTTGGTAAAAGCTGTGGACGTGTCTGGAAACTTGGGTGTGGCTTTTGGGCTCCTGCTGGTTGCCCCGATGGCCCTCAGCAGGTGGAGTTT